TCACAGGGACGAAGAGCCAAACCTGATACGTATTTCGTTATCCACCGGGCAACTTCTAGGTCGGCGAGTCTGCTTCTTCGCCTCGAAATTGCCCCTTATCCTATCTAAACTAGAGCCTATTCAAGTATCGGCATTGAATCGTAAACGTCCCCCTTTGCGTCTTAAAAGTGGCAGGTACTTTCATTTCTTCTGCTTAAAGGCCTAAAGTAGGATTTCATTCGGATTAAGGTGAAGTGAAACGCGTCGAGGAACTTGATCGACGGAAGTAAAGGAGATTTTTATTAATATTTACGTTGCCGACGTTCGTTTTTATGAAACGATTTGAGACATCCAGTTAGTAGAAGAGTTTTATGAACGATTGAGCTTTCGGATGACACTTTCACATCCACTTAAGGTGAACTGAAACGCGTCGAGGAACTTGATCGACGTAGATAAAGGAGATTTTTATTAATACCTACGTTGCCGATGTTGGTTTTTATATTGACAGCAGTGTCGAATTATATTGGGTATTGTACCGACGAAAACAAGAGCCTATTCAAGTATCGGCATTGAATCGTAAACGTCCCTCTTTGCGTCTTAAAAGTGGCAGGTACTTTCATTTCCTCTGCTTAAAGGCCTAAAGTAGGACTTCATTCGTATTAAGGTGAAGTGAAACGCGTCGAGGAACTTGATCGACGTCGGTAAAGGAGATTTTTATTAATACCTACGTTGCCAACGTTGGTTTTTATATTGATAGTAGTGTCGAATTATATTGGGTGATGTATCAACGAAAACTAGAGTCTATTCAATTATTGGCATTAAATCGTAAACGTCCCCCTTTGCGTCTTAAAAGTGGCAGGTACTTTCATTTCTTCTGCTTAAAGGCCTAAAGTAGGATTTCATTCGTATTAAGGTGAAGTGAAACGCGTCGAGGAACTTGATCGACGTCGGTAAAGGTGATTTTTATTAATACCTACGTTGCCAACGTTGGTTTTTATGAAACGATTTGAGACATCTAGAAGAGTTTTATGAACGACTGAGCTTTCGGATGCCACTTTTACATCCCCTTAAGGTGAACTGAAACGCGTTGAGGAACTTGATCGACGTAGATAAAGGAGATTTTTATTAATACCTACGTTGCCAACGTTGGTTTGTATATTGGGTATTCTATTGACGAAAACTAGAGCCTATTCAAGTATCGGCATTGAATCGTAAACGTCCCCCTTTGCATCTTAAAAGTGGCAGGGACTTCCATTTCTTCTGCTTAAAGGCCTAAAGTAGGATTTCATTCGTATTAAGGTGAAGTGAAACGCGTCGAGGAACTTGATCGACGGAAGTAAAGGAGATTTTTATTAATATTTACGTTGCCGACGTTCGTTTTTATGAAACGATTTGAGACATCCAGTTAGTAGAAGAGTTTTATGAACGATTGAGCTTTCGGATGACACTTTCACATCCACTTAAGGTGAACTGAAACGCGTCGAGGAACTTGATCGACGTAGATAAAGGAGATTTTTATTAATACCTACGTTGCCGATGTTGGTTTTTATATTGACAGCAGTGTCGAATTATATTGGGTATTGTACCGACGAAAACAAGAGCCTATTCAAGTATCGGCATTGAATCGTAAACGTCCCTCTTTGCGTCTTAAAAGTGGCAGGTACTTTCATTTCCTCTGCTTAAAGGCCTAAAGTAGGACTTCATTCGTATTAAGGTGAAGTGAAACGCGTCGAGGAACTTGATCGACGTCGGTAAAGGAGATTTTTATTAATACCTACGTTGCCAACGTTGGTTTTTATATTGATAGTAGTGTCGAATTATATTGGGTGATGTATCAACGAAAACTAGAGTCTATTCAATTATTGGCATTAAATCGTAAACGTCCCCCTTTGCGTCTTAAAAGTGGCAGGTACTTTCATTTCTTCTGCTTAAAGGCCTAAAGTAGGATTTCATTCGTATTAAGGTGAAGTGAAACGCGTCGAGAAACTTGATCGATGTTGGTAATGAAAATTCTTCTAAATACCTAAGTTGCTGACGTTCGTATTTATACTGACAGCAGTGTCGAATTATGTTGGGTATAGTACCGGCCTAAACTAGAGCCTATTCAAGTACCGGCATTAAATCGTAAACGTCCCCCTTTGCGTCTTAAAAGTGGCAGGTACTTCAATTTCTTCCGTTTAAGTGCCTAAAGTAGAATTTAATTCCTATTAAGGTGAAGTGAAACGCGTCGAGGAACTTGATCGACGACGGTAAAGAAGATTTTTCTAAATACCTACGTTGGTTTTTATATTGACAGCAGTGTCGAATTATATTGGGTGATGTACCGACGAAAACTAGAGTCTATTCAATTATCGGCATTAAATCGTAAACGTCCCCTTATGCATCTTAAAAATGGCAGATACTTCTATTTCTTCTGTGTAAATTAAATGGGCCCAAAAAAGGGCCTACTTACAAGGAAGGTATCCCATGTCGATCTCTCCGATTTCATTTCTTTTATAATATATTATAGCACACTAAAAACTATGCGACACGTATTTTTTATCTGCCATTAAACACTTTAAGGGGGTTAAACCGCTATCCAAAGTAAGGCATGTCAAGGAGCGATTTGGCAGTTTCACGCACAAGAACATAATATTTTTTATACCAATCCACCTGGAAAAGCTCTCTCATAACAATAAATGAAAAATATAATTTTCTCAATTAGGAAAAAAAATTATGGGGTGAGCCACCCCTCACAGGCCTTATATTGGATGGTGCTTTCACCCCCTTAAAGTGTTCAATGGCAGATAAAAAAAAATACGTGTCGCTTAGTTTTTAGTCTACTATAAAATCTTATAAAAGAAATGAAATCGGAGGGATCGACCTGGGATACCTTCCTTGTTCAAAGTAGGTCTGAAATTTCGACTCGGGGAGGCTTCCGGGGATATTCCTTTCTCGGTGAGCGTCCTGGTTGGGGAACAAAGGGAAGTCCTTGGCCCTACGGCGTGGTTCCTCCCCCTGTTCCTCGACACAGGGAAGAAAGGACACCTCGACGCCTTGTGGAAACGGCTGACACGCAAAAAGGGGTCTTCAAAGGACGCAAAGGGAATTCTCACCTAGGCATCTGTACGGCTTGACCCATCGAGAGAGCTTGCACTTGGTCCGCCCTGGCTTGCACCATCCGCTGACCCTGACGTAGCGGGAGGACTCGACGATGTTCGTGATGTCTCTCTTCGGGTAAGCCTGGAAGAAAAGAAAAGGGATCGGTTTACTGTACGGCTTCGTCCACAAACCAGGCACGAATGCGGTCGATCGATCGCTGGTTCCCACTAGAGCCGATCACTCGGGTGTCCACACGAAGACACCCACCTGAGTCAGGCCACAAAGTATACTCCTGCATAAAATGAAGAAATTGGTTCTTCAAAACGTGAACTACTCTGTTTTCATGTTTAACTACCGTATCTACAAGGTGGGGAAAAAAATCCTATACTCGCTGGACTAGAGCCCATCACTCGGGTGTCCACACAGACACCCACCTGAGTCAGGCCACAAAGTGTACTCCTGCATAAAATGAAGAAATTGGTTCTTCAAAACGTGAACTACTCTGTTTTCACGTTTAACTACTGTAGCTACAAGGCGGGGAAAAATATCCTATACTCGCTGGGTCTAGAGTCTATCACTTGGGTGTTCACACAAAGACACCCACCTGAGTCAGGCCACAAGGTCTACTCCTGCATAAAATGAAGAAAAAGGTTCTTCAAAACGTGAACTACTCCTCCGTTTGCATGTTTAACTACTGTAGCTACAAGGCGGGGAAAAATATCCTATATTCGCTGAACTAGAGCCCATCACACGGGTGTCCACACAAAGACACCCACCTGAGTCAGCCCACAAAGTGTACTCCTGCATAAAATGAAGAAATAGGTTCTTCAAAACGTGAACTACTCCTCCGTTTGCATGTTTAACTACTGTAGCTACGAGGTGGGGAAAAATATCCTATACGCGCTGGGTCTAGAGCCCATCACTCGGGTGCCCACCCAAAACCATCCACCTAAGGCAGGCCACAAAGTCTACTCCTGCATAAAATGAACAAAAAGGTTGTTTAAAACGTGAACTACTCCTCCGTTTGCATGTTTAACTACCGTATCTACAAGGCGGGGAAAAACTTCCCATACTCTCTGGACTAGAACCCATCACTCGGGTGTCCACCCAAAACCACCCACAAAATCCACGTGCAATTAAAGTCATCGATTGGGTGGCAAACGTACTGGCGACGGTTTCCCGGTGACTTTTTCCAGGATTACGATAGGTCTTTCTAAATACGATAGCGTGGCCGAAAATAACGGACATTAATGTCGCATCAACTAGGGATTTTTCGGAGCCGACCTAGTTCTGAAAGTAGCGGTCCCCTGTTAAGCCGACCAGAGGATATAACGAGCGAGCCGGACGAGTCTCCGTATCTCGACAACTCGGTCATTCGGACGGAAAGAACGCAGCTTTTACACGAAACCATGCCTCCGGGTTCGAATATAAAGGCCGGGAAACGAGTCGCTTGTACGATCGGGCTTAAAAGCTTAAAACCGGCGAGCATAAAAGGAGCGAGGGATATGCGCTCCCCAGCAGGCATGTAACGTCAATGCCTGCCAGGGGCTAATCGCGAGTCTCTCGCCATTCAAGAGAGCCATCGTGAATTAAACTAAACAAAAATAATCCATATAACCAGTATAGGAGACATCTCTTCTTCCGAGTGGCCGACATTTCTCGAGCTGTCGCCTATCTCGGCAAAGTTACGATGTTCTCNCGCCATTCAAGAGAGCCATCGTGAATTAAACTAAACAAAAATAATCCATATAACCAGTATAGGAGACATCTCTTCTTCCGAGTGGCCGACATTTCTCGAGCTGTCGCCTATCTCGGCAAAGTTACGATGTTCTCCACAAAAGTTACAACAGCTGTGATAAGGTGTTAGGGTGAAGTGAAACCTTAAAATCAGTCGATTCTAATAAAACATTTTTTTTAAGGGTATTGGACCAAAGTGTAAGATACTTTGACACATGACTCGTGATCAATAAGAATTATCCTTATCCTGAGTATTCATGCTTTCTGGGGCCCTAATTTACTGCAGAGGGACCCTCTGCGCCATCTGTGATTTCCAGGTCAATTAAATTTTCCCTCCAAGACCTCATATTCCCATCGTTTTGGCACACAAGCGCATAAAACACTTTTTTCGTCTTTATCCCGTCCAAATGCGAGTTTATCGATTACCAGAGCGTTCTAAATTGTCGTAAAATTGTCGTTAATTGTATACTGATCGAAATATGAGAGCTCGACGTCACTGTTTCTGGTCTGACCCAAGTTAAAAAATTGTTTCCAAAAATCCAAATTTTGAATGTGTCAGGACAATTCTTAGATGATCACGAGTCATGTGACAAAGTGTTGGACAATTTGGTCCAATACCCTTAAAAAACAGTGTTTTATTCGAATCGACCGATTTGAAGGGGGTTTCGCTTCGCCTTAAAGACCCCATTCGAGATCAATCACCAATGGAGCGTAATTCATCAGTCCAACCAGACGTAATTTTTCCCTCTTCGTGTAAAAACCAAGTTTCTCCCGGCAAAGGACGCCAACTTCAGCGGGCAAAGCCCTAGACATCTCGGTCATCGGCGCCGAGGTTTCTCCTTTTCCCCAGAGCCGAGATTCGCTTCCGAGCTTAAAACGCGTAACCCGGAGCGTAAAACGCCGAGCGTAAAGCGTAAAACCGTAAAAGCGTGAAACGAGAAATGCAAAACGAGAGACAGAGAGAGGGAGAGGAAGAGCCAAGGCCGAGTGGAGGCGCCCCCGGCGCTTAACCGGGATCGGGGAAGGATTCCCGGGGACGTTCTCGGGACGCTTATTATTTCCTAATTAACGATCACGCTCCCACGGCGACTCGTTCGCTTTTAATGAAGCGTTTAACGCGATCGCGAAGGCCCGACTCGGGCTCGAGGCGCGACGAGAGCGAATGCAAGGGACGAAGGATCGATTAGCGTCGCTCCGCTAGGGCTAAATCGAGTTACGTACCCCGGCGCTCACTCGACAAATTGACAAACTATTCGATAATGGGCAATTATGACTCGTGCCCTGTAAGCCGGCGCGGCCGGCTTCGCGACCCTTATGGTGAAGTGAAACCCCCTTCAAATCATGTATGTACAGTAGGCACCCCCACATCGGAAATATGGAATGAAACCTATTGGAGAATTTAGTGCTCTTTTAGTGCTACTTTAATGCTCCAACCTCGATTTTAGTGCTCCACCCCTTATACCGAAAATCTGTGGGGGTGCTGAGTGAACGTTCACCCCCGCAGTGCATTCTACGTTAAGGGAAAGATTTACGGATAAAACGAGTATGCAGCATTTTGGTGCTTTTTTAGTGCTCTGGAAATATCCAAGGGCCAGATCCGAGACATCACCCCTTTCACCCCAAAACTACCCCCGATCGTATAAGCACCAAGAGAGAAGACGTAGAAATAATAACATTTTGCATGTTCTCTTCTCGAATTATTTTGGTGCTATTTTAGTGCTATAGAAATATCCAAGAGCCAGGTCCGAAACATCACCCCTTTCACCCCAAAACTACCCCCGATCGTACAATCGCCAAGAGAGAAGAGGTAGAAATAATAACATTTTGCATGTTCTCTTCTCGAATTATTTTGGTGCTATTCTAGTGCTCTAGAAATATCCAAGAGCCGAATCCGAAACACCACCCCTNCTAATGTCTTCGAATGAAATCTACAAGAGATCTTAAAAAATCTGTCGCTAGAGATATTTGGCAAATATGTAGAAATTATTCTACGCTATTAGGGAAGTTTCACTTCCATGGAAAATAAGCACTGTCCTGCATCTAAAACCCGAAACGGAAATGAAGTATGTAGTTGGAACCAACCCTTAGTCATCCGGGCGATACACGTACTCGTCGCGCGTTCCGGAGGTAATCGATAACGTAGGGGAGGAGAGAGAGAGAGGGAGGGCGCGACTCTAATGGAGAGGCAGCATAAAATGCGATCAAAGCGAACTATAATTAAATTTCAGCCGCATGGAAATTTCCTTGAACATTCGGTAGTTAATGCGATATCGAATTCCTGGGGGGGCGACGCCCCAGCCGGCTTCGACGGCCACCCCCGAGCGAACGCTCAACGAATGTCCAAAGGAGGTCCAAAGGACGTAACGTCGCTAAATCACCGCCAGGGAAGTCTCGGGACATCGGGTTTTACGAGATCTCGTCCCGTCCGACGTTCGCCCCGATCACGTGGAAAATTGAAGCACTTCGAGTCCGCCGAGGGGAACTTTGCGGATCCGCTTTCACAGGGACGAAGAGCCAAACCTGATACGTATTTCGTTATCCACCGGGCAACTTCTAGGTCGGCGAGTCTGCTTCTTCGCCTCGAAATTGCCCCTTATCCTATCTGAACTAGAGCCTATTCAAGTATCGGCATTGAATCGTAAACGTCCCCCTTTGCGTCTTAAAAGTGGCAGGTACTTTCATTTCTTCTGCTTAAAGGCCTAAAGTAGGATTTCATTCGGATTAAGGTGAAGTGAAACGCGTCGAGGAACTTGATCGACGGAAGTAAAGGAGATTTTTATTAATATTTACGTTGCCGACGTTCGTTTTTATGAAACGATTTGAGACATCCAGTTAGTAGAAGAGTTTTATGAACGACTGAGCTTTCGGATGACACTTTCACATCCACTTAAGGTGAACTGAAACGCGTCGAGGAACTTGATCGACGTAGGTAAAGGAGATTTTTATTAATACCTACGATGCCAACGTTGGTTTTTATATTGGGTATTCTACTGACGATAACTAGAGCCTATTCAAGTATTGACATTGAATCATAAACGTCCCTCTTTGCGTCTTAAAAGTGGCAGGTACTTTCATTTCTTCTGCTTAAAGGCCTAAAGTAGGATTTCATTCGTATTAAGGTGAAGTGAAACGCGTCGA